TCCAACTCAAGTGTGGCCTCCTCGTGACTTAAACCACCAGTTCTCAGCCGGTTATGCATCTCAGAAGCTGTCCATTCTCCCATGCCAACAGGACGGAACCGACCAACGTTAGTATCAAATACATATCTAACGCACATATACTCGTAACACTTAACGCCGAGCATTTTATCATATTCAACTTCAACCATCGTCTTGCGGGTGGCGCTCCTGAAGCGTGCACGTAGTCTTTCCCAAAGGGCCGATATGTGACGATTGAAGACCGGCACGTCCTCATCAGAAGCCATTCCTGGATCTATCATATCCTTAGAGTCCTCCGCGAGAGGTACAGCCTCCTCAATAACCACATTCGTAGCCTCATTGAGATGTGGCTCTGGCAACATGAACAGCGTAACGAGAGAGTGATAGAATTTAGATAGCACGGCAGCCAGTACGTGAAAAACGACCATTGAGTATATTGCTGGTATAACAACTCCGTTCCAGTCAGTTTGCCAGTCTGAGAGGAGTTCAGTGAAATACGAAAATGAGACGAAGATGATGATGCAAAGGTATGCTAGCATAAGGAGAAGAAGCCAAGCATAGAGAATGATGGTTCCCATCATGGTTTTCTTGTAGCCAGTCTGGATGAAGAACCTCTCAACTTCGTCGGGGCTCTCAAATGATAGACGACGGCAAGCGGACGACTTAGACTTGATGGATCGAGGGGCTTGAACAGAGCGATAGATCAGAAATATCGCAGATATGAGGAGCAGACCGCAAAGGCCACAAGTCCAAACTATGGCAGCGATTTCTCCGAATTCCATTTTCCGTCAGATGATGCGAAAATATTGATAGACTGAAGCACACCATTTGCGTGCGACTGCCATATAGTTCTCGCATGCATAGCACAGTTTTGTTATTGGAAGGTTACCACCAACTGGCCTGGAAGTAAGAAGGCCGCTAGGGATGATGGACCAGGCATTCCCCGTCAACTTCGTATTAGCCCTCACTAGAAACGAAACATGAAAATGGTAAATTGCAGGCTCAAGACTTTGTTAACATTCAGGGTTTTCGACAGTTGACTAACATGTGGCCTCCAGAGCGAA